TTTGAGTGAGTTTGGGTAATTTGTGGTTTTTGAGGAATTGGTCCATTTTGTAATTTAATGTGCATAGAGTTCTGTGCAGTATTCTCTTATGAGCCTTTTAATGTCTGTGGGGTCTGTAGTTATAATCCCCTCTTTCATTCCCAGTATTGACAATTTGTGTCTTCTTTTTTCTTTGTCAGTCATGCTAGAGATGTATTTTATTTTTTATCTTTTCTAAGAACCAGCTTTTGTTTTCATTGACTTTCTCTATTTTCTGTTTTCAATTTCATTGAATTCTGTCCTTTTTTTTAAACTTCTTTCATACTTCTTTGTTGTCGTTAGGTGCGATCGAGTCCGTTCCTACTTGTAGCAACCCTGTGTACAACAAAATGAAACACTGCCCGTCATTGCTGTCTTTGAGCTCATTGTTGCATACTTTTGCTTTTAATTTATTTTCCTCTTTTTTAGTTTCTTAAAGTGATTTGAGACTTTTCTAATATACATATTTAATGCTGTAAATGAGGTACATTTTCTTTTAAGTACTACTGTATCCCACAGATTTTGATATGTTTTATTTTTACTTTGATTCAGTTCAAAATGTTTTCTGATTTTCCTTGAGACTTCTTTTCGATCCATGCATTATTTAGAGTTCTGTTTAATTTCCAAGTGTTGGAGATTTTTCTGTTACCTTTCTGTTATGGTATTACTAGTCTAATTTGATTACGGTCAGAGAACATAGTATGATTTCAGTCCTTTTAAATTTGTTAAGATTTGTTTTATGACACAGGATATGGTTTATCTTGGTGAATGTCTCGTGCACTAGAAAAAAATGTGTATTCTGTTCTATAAATGTTAATTAGATCCAGTTGTTGGATAGTGTTGTTCAGTTCTATGTATTTTTGCTGATTTTCTGACTAGTGGTTCTGTCAGTTACTGAGAGAGGAGTTTTGAAGTGTCTAACTATAATTGTGGATTTGTCTGTTTTACCTTTTAGTTCTGTCAGTTTTTGCTTCAGATATTTTGAATATCAGTTATTAGGTGCATACATATTTAAGATTGTTATTTTTAAATTTTTTTGGTGAATTGATTCATTTATTAATATATAATGCTTCTCTATCTCTGGTAATTTTTCTTTGCTTTGACTGATATTTGTAACAAAGAGAGCTACTTCAGCTTTCTTTTTCTTTTTTTAATTGAGATATAATTCACCTACTATAAAATTCACCCTTTTAAAGTGTGCAGTTCATGGTTTTTAGTATATTCTCAGAGTTGTACAACAATCGCCACTATCTAATTCCAGAAATTTTATCACTGTCCCCTCTTTTCTCCCCCCCCCAACCTCATACCCATTAGCAGTCACTCCCTATTCCCCCCACTCTTCAGGCTCTGGCAACCACCAGTCTGCTTTCTGTCTGTATGGATTTGCCTGTTTTGGACTTTTCATATAAATGGAACCATGTAATATGTGATCTTTTGTGTCTGGCTTTTTTCACTTCACATAACGTTTTCAACGTTCATCCGCGTTGTAGCACGTGTCAGTACTTCATTCTTTTTATGGATGAATAACATTCCATTGTATGGGTATACTCTGTTTTGTTTATCCATTCATTGAGTGAGAGGTATTTAGGTTGTTTTTTGGCTATTATGAAAAACGCTGCTATGAACATTTCCTTGTAAGTTTTTGTGAGAACCTATGTTTTTATCCTTTAATTCCTGAATAGTATATTTGCTGGATATAGAATTCTAGGTTGACTGTTCTTTTCTTTCAATACATTAAAAATGTATGCTGCTTCTTTCTGACTGCAGTAGTTTCTGATGAGAAATCCACAGTCATTTGAATTGTTGTTTTTTTATAAGTAAAGTGTCATTTTTCTCTGGATGCTTTTAAGATTTTTCTTTGTCTTTAGTGTTTAGCAATTTGCTTATAATATGCTGATGCATGGATTTCTTTGTGTTCATCCTATCTAGGGTTCACTGAGCTTCTTGAATCTTGAGGCTTAGGCCTTTTACCAAATATAGGATATTTTCAGCTTTTATTTCTTCAGGTATTTTTTCTGCATCACATTCTTTCTCCTCTACTTTTGGGAGTATCTTATATGAATGTTAGAACATTTGTATTGCCCCAGAGTTCCCTAAGGCTCTGTTCTTTTCTTTTCTTTTTTTTTTTTGGTCAATCATTTTTCTCACTTGTTTAGATTGGATAATTTCTATTGATCTATCTTCAAGTTCACTGACTTTTCCCTTTGTTATCTTCATTCTGCTATTGAGTCCATACATTGCAGTTGGTTGATATGTTTTTTAAGGCTCTTTTAGGTTCTCCCTCCACTTTTTCTTTGTTGAACTTTGCAATTTATTTGCTGTAGAAAGTACATTTGTATTGTCCGAGAGGCCCTGTTCTTTCTTTCTTTCTTTTTTTTTTCTGTCGGTGGTATTTTTTCATTGTGTTCAGTTTGTATAATTTCTCCTGACAATTTTCACTTATCCTAAAGGTTTCCTACAGTGTGGATTTTGCTGCTTGTATGTTTATAGTATCATTTAATGTTTTATGTCCCTTATATTTTATGTAAGTTGGGTGTTAGATTTATCCTAAAGGTTTTCTACAGTGTGGATTTTGCTGCTTGTATCTTTATAGTATCATTTAATGTTTTATGTCCCTTATATTTTATGTAAGTTGGGTGTTAGATTTAGAATAAAGGGGCAGCAAACTAAAGATTATGGGTCAAATCTGGGCCTCTGCATGTTTTTATAAATATTTATTGGAATACAGGATGCCTATTGATTTACGTATTGTCTGTGGCTGCTTGCGTGCCACCATGGCAGACTGGAGTAGTTGTAACAGAGCCTAAAATATTTACTCTCTAGTCCTTTAGAAAAAAATGTTTGCCGACCTCTGAACTAGAGATTTGATCAAATTCAGTATCTTTTTGTTTGTTTGCTTTTAAGGAAGTAAATTTAATAGGTGGTGGTGTATAGTTGCACATGGGACACATAATGTTTGGTTGTCCATCATTTTGTGATGTTAGCAGCTATCGATGATCATTGCCTATATTCATTATGTTTTCATTAATCCTTCATTTTTTATGAATATTTTGCTGGGTATATAGTTTTAGATTGGCAGTCTTTTTCACTGTCTTCTAGTTTCCATTCTTTATAACTTATTGTCAGCTGTCAGTCTGTTGTTGGGTCTTTTGAAAGTAGTATGTCCCTCTGTGCCCAACTTCATCCCCTAGTCCCTGGATACTTTTGTGATATTTCTGTTTTTTGTTTAGCTGTGCTGTCATATACTGCAGTGTGCCTAGGTGTGGTTACATAGAGTGCTTCTTGAATCTGTGGCTTGGAGCTGTTTGTGAGTATTGGAAAATTTTCAGCCAGATGGTCTTTTTTCTTCTGTTCTATTCTCAATTCCTCTCTTCCTAAGATTCCTAGTATATATAGTGTCTTTTATGCTCTTTCCTGTTTTTAATTTTTCATCCTTTTGTCATTCTGTGCTTAACTGGGATATTTTCTTCTGACCTTTCCTTCAACTCACTAATTCTTTTAATTTGCTGTGTCTAATCTGCTGTTAAGCTTGTCCCTTGATTTTCTTAATTTAATTATTGTTTATTTTAGTTCTGTTATTAATTTGGTTCTTTGTTACAGTGTTCAGTTCTCTGCCAAAATTCTCCAACTTGTCATTTATTTCAGTTTTAAAATCTGTTCTTGATAATTCCTTTATTTGGATCTCCTATGGGTCTATTTCTAATGTCAGTCCCCCCCACCCCCCCACCTTGGTTTTGGTTCTTTTTTTTCTTTCTTCAGTGCTTGCTTATTTTTTACTGAGAGTCCAAAATGGATTGTGAAACTGTTGGAGATAGTTTGAGTCTGTGAGTGGTTGTTCTAGAGAGGTTTTTACACATTGTACTGGAGAAATAAGACAGGCTGAGGAGAAGAGGGAACTAGTAAGAGTCAGTTAAGAGAATCATCCTGGGTTCTAGGTCTGATAGAGAAGGAATTGAGGGGAAACTGGAAGAAAATGAAGATCCAGAGGAACAGTGAGTGAGACAGCTAAATGGATAGGAGATTGGGATTTAAAATAATTATACTTTAAGATTAAAAAGAAAAACAATCCAAGGGAGCATAATGCCCTGTGGATAATAATTAGTATAAATGTTACTTGAGTTTGGATTAGGAATCAGTCACTTAGGGTTGAAAAGCCTAGTTAAGTTTTGAAAGAAGTAACCATTTAGTAAATAGTGAAGAGCAGAGAGGCCATTTTAGGATACATGGTAATTTGTAACTTCTTTTGTTCTTTCAATTTCTTTTGAAATTACTTTTGGCCTGATTGGTCTAAAAATGTTCAGCATAATGGTGGGGTGAAGACCAGAAGCTACCATGCTTTTGTCACAGGCTCCATACACCCTAGATGGGTTCATACCGCTAGTCAACAGCTAGGACTAGAGGTTTCATCTCAATGCTCTTAAGTCCAGTGAGCTTTCTGTAACTCTTTGGGGCTGTTACTACCTGCCCAGCCTACCTCACAGGTTTTTGTAAAGATCTAATGACATGTTTTAAAAACCAAAAAGTACTATTCAAATAGCTGTTGAAGAGTTGCATAACTTATAATTAAACTGAAGGAAAAATTTTATCAAGAACTTATTACATATGCATATTATTTAGTAATATAACTTAATTGTGTTAAGTAAAATTTATGACAAGTTTATGTGTAAATTGGAACATATCAGCATCAGAACTTAGTACTACATTTTTCTGCCTGAGGGATTATGCATATATTTTCATTATCTTTGAGAAAATGAATTTCCTTTTGACAAAGATATCAAATATTTTAAAAGCAAATTTAAACTTTTGGTTTCTATTTGGATCCTGCAATAAAATTTGAACATTATAGATTATTGGATATTATATGTCATTTGATCTAAAACAAAAATAAAACAACCCAAGCCCTAAAGGAATATTATAATTCATAGGCAAAAATTATATTAAAAGTTTATTTAAACTAAATAAAATTATTTTTCTGTCTCTAGGCAAAGTTTGGTTTCTCTAATATTACTGGAATCGATTACTCTCCTTCTGCAATACAACTTTCTGGAAGTATTATAGAGAGAGAAGGTTTATCTAACATTAAGTTGAAGGTAATTATATTATTACTATTTATTTTTAAATAAAAGTCATAAAGTTTAAGTGTTCCTAAAGTATATTAATTTGCTGACATCTTTTGAACTCATACAAATCAAGAACAGTCAAAAATAATCCAAATTGAAACATTTTTAGGTAACTGTTAGAATTTTTAGTCTAGTCAGTTTTGGGGGAAGCTATTTTCTCTTCTGTGCATGAGAGTGTACCCTCCTTCCCTCCTCCACTCTCTTCTCCTTCCTCTCCCTCCCTCTTTCTTCTTCCTCCCTTTCTTCTTTCTCTTCTTCCTCTCCTTTCCCCTCCCTCCTTTTCTCTTCTCCTCTTGCCCTAGCTCTTGCTCTTTCTCTCTCATGATTGAAAAATGCGCAAATAGTACCTAACTATGGATTAACCAGATAAAAAAGCTGTAAAAGCATAGAGTGGTATAATGCCACTGAAGATTACTTAGTTTATTTTGTGTCCTAATATCTGTGAGGCCCTCCTCCCAACCTCCTATCCATTTAGCTCTCTCACTCCCTATTCTTCTCTGGGGCCCTGGTAGTGCAGCAGTTAAGAGGTTGGCTTAAGAGCTCGACTGCTAACCTGAAGGTTGGCAGTTGGAATCTACCAGCCGCTCCTTGGAAACCCTATGGGGCAGTTCTGTGCTGTCCTACAGTGTCACTATGAGTTGGAATCAACTCGACGGCAACAGTTTATTTTTTTTTTTTGTTTAATATCTGTGAGGAGATGATGACTCCCAGACTTACATTTCTAGCTCAGGCCTCTACTCTGAGCTCTTATAATCATATAAAAAGCTACTCTTCTACAGTTCCAGTGGGATACTTAATAGTCTGTCAACTTATGTAATCAGTCCAAAACAAAACTCTTGATTTCCTCCTCAAACCTGCCTTCTTGTCTTTCCCCTGTCTCTTATTAACCCTGCCATTCACTCTTCAAAACCCAAGGAGCAAGCCTTGATTTTCTCTCTCATTTAAATCCTGTATCCTTCTGTTGTAGTTGTTGTTTTTAATTGTGGTAAACATAAATGTAGCAAAACGTTTGCAATTTTAAGTCTTCACATGTTCACTTCAGTGACGTTAATTATGTTTATCACATTATTCATCGCGTTGCTCATCACTCTTAACCATTCCTAAATTTGTCCATTACCTTAACAGGAACTCAGTTCTATTGGTTTTTGTTTGCAAAGCATGTCAGGAATGTGATCATTCCTTAATATTTCCACTGCTACCTCCCAAGTCCAAGCCATCATCATTTCTTGTCTAGACTACCACAGTAGCCTCTCGATTGGCCTCCCTGTTTCTTCTCTGCCCCCCTGCTGTCCATTTACCACTGTGCAGCCAGAGCGATCCTTTAAAATGGAAATCAGATTGTGTCACGTCCCTTTTCACAGTTCTTCAGTGGCTTCCCCATTGCACTCAGAATAGAATCTAAACGCCCAACCCAACCTTACAAATTCTTTCTCACTTCTTACCTCTTTCTCCCAATATTTCAGTCAGCCTGTCTTTTCTGTTCCTTGTTCTTCACCTGTCGATATACATGATACCTGGTGTCCTCTGCTCAGAATATCCTTACCCCAGATTTTGGCTTGAATGCCTCATCCTCAGTATCATTCAGATCTCTGCTTTAATACCGCCTTCTTAGAGAGGCCATTCCTGGCCACCTTTCCAAAACTGTTTTCTTCCCAGGCACTCTCTGTTTCATTACTCTGGTTTTATTTTCTTCATAGCACTTTGTCTGAAATTATTTCTTTAGCTTATTATTATTTGTCTCTCCATTTATAGAATATAAGGTGTATTCTCATACAAGGACTTTTTCTGTTTTGTTTATGCTTATAGTCTTACATCTGTAGTGCCTGGAAAGTATCTGCATATAATAGGTACCCAAGAAATACTTGTTGAATAAATGAGTACCTTTATACAGGCATTCAGGATGAGGAAGCTTCTCCAAAGTCAGCCCTTCAGAGCGATACTTTCATTATTGTGCTTCAAATATAATGGATACTTTGGACACAAAGGAGGGGGAGAACCCCATCTTCAAATGTAAATAAACATAAAACTCACATTTTTAAGTCAGATAAGATTTTTAGATTATGTACTATTTAGATTATTAAGTTTTATGACTAATCATTAGCTAATTGCTTAATTTTTAAAGTAGCTTTTCAGAATTGTTTATTGGCAAGTTATTGTGAATATTTTACAAAACTGAGGCAGATCACTATTTCAGATGCTTATTATGTATCACGAACTTATTGAAAATCTAAAGTGCATAATATTTATAAAATTAATTAATTATACAGTTATTTAATTTCTTAAGCTTTATGCCAGTCATTAGATTCGTTAGTAGCTTTTTAAGCTGCTGAGTCAGGGCAAAAGGACTTTTGATTTACGGTGTTTATGTTAGTTCATGCAACTAGTAATATAAGCCAAAAATCTTATTTCAGATGACCTGTTTGAGTTCCAGATAAATTTTGTCATTTTGAATAATATGCCAAATACTCTACTTTTTGACAGAACTAACCTTTTCATAAGCCAGGCTTGTGAGCCCCATAATGTGCTGGTACTGTTAGACAGTACACCTGGCTTTGATTTGTTTCCAAACTTGCAGAGATTTGGAATGTCCAGGAAACATGATCAGTCTCTCTTACTAATCTTAACTTTAATGATCTTGGAATGAAATACTTAAAAGTTAACTATAAAGTTGAAAATATGTTTATTATATGAAAAGTATCATCATGATTAATGGGTCCTCTTATCCATAACCTTTTACAGGTTGTCATTTAAATTCAGTAAGCATTTTAAAGATAGTGTGTTAATTGTTCTCACATAGATATTGATTTTTCATACAGGTAGAAGACTTTTTGAATCTTTCCACAAAGCTGTCTGGATTTCATATTTGTATTGACAAAGGGACTTTTGATGCCATAAGCCTTAATCCTGACAATGCAGTAGAGAAGAGGAAGCAATATGTGAAATCTCTCTCCAGGGTGTTGACAGTAAAAGGCTTTTTTCTAATAACCTCATGTAATTGGACCAAGGAAGAGTTAGTAAATGAGTTCAGTGAAGGTAAATGGTTATATGTTGTTCAAATGTATGCTTTCCTCAGGTTTAATGCAGTTATCTTTTTTTTTTTTTCCTTGTGTGTTACAGTGTTTTACTTTTATATTTGTGGAAATTGCCTCCTTTTCTTCTCTGTTAATAACTTTGGTAATACTTCTAACTGTATACAAAGCACAAAGGAATAACATTGGTTGAGATCCAGAGTCCTTTTAACATTTTTCCAAGAAGTCCTGGCAGTAAAGTACTAAAATTTTTGAGCCTGCGAAAATTAAGTTCTTTATTTAAGCTATAACCCAAACCCCCTGCCGTCGAGTTGATTCCAACTCATAGCGATCCTATAGGTCAGAGTAAAACTGCTGCATAGGGTTTCCAAGGCTTTAATATTTATGGAAGTGAACTGCCACATCTTTCTCCCCCAGAGCGGCTGGTGGGTTCAAACTGTCAACCTTTCAGCTAGCAGCTGAGCACTTTAACCGCTGCACCACCAGGGCTCCTTATTAAGCTATACAATCTATTATTTAGAGAATCATAGAAAAAAAGCACATATATTGTGCCTCTGACTTCAGTGCGCTGATTTACTGGCGGATCTGTGATAATGAAAAGGAAAGTTTTTTTTAAAGGCTCACATGAGGAGAGTTTTAATTTTATAAATTCTTTATGTATCTTGCTTGTTTCATTTAGGTATTTAGGATTTGTCTTGTTTTCAGCATACCTAGAACAATTATTTTTAACGTTGCACAGAAACGTAGAGAATTGATAGTATAGGTAGTTCCCAACTTATGACGTATTCGAGTTAGGACGAATTGCATTTACGACCCGTCTTAGGCTGAGTTCTCTGGAGAAGCAAAATAAGTGAAGCATATATATGTGTACGCATATGTGTATGTGTGGGAGAGAGAGAGAGACATTTATCTCAAGGAAATTGCTCATGCATTTGTAGAGACTGGCAAGTCCTTAGTCTGTGGGTCAGGCTGGAGGATTCTCCTGATCCTGACTCATGTAGCTGCAAAGGCTGATGAACCCAAGATCAGCAGGTCAGAGGGCAGGCTGCTGGCTCACAGGCTGCGAAGGCTGATGAGTCCCAAGAACAGCAGGCAGTACAGCAGGCCACTGGCTCAAGTCTCAAGAACTGGTGGTTATATGATGACAAGATAGATACAGGATCCAGAGCAAGCAAGCAGGCTTTGCCAGAACGTCCATATATATCTTGGATGTAGGCCACACCCCCAAGGAAACACCCTTTACATAACTAATCGACTGATCACATCAGATCACATCATGGAGGATGACTACATCATTGCATAACTTCCAGATTACATCGTTACATAACTACCAAACTATATCATTACATAACTCCCAAACTACATGATTATATAACTGCCAAACCACTGAGAATCATAGCGCAGCCAAGTTTACACACAGCCTTAACCATCACACGACCGTTTGTGGGTTTTTTTGTACATCTTATTAGTAATATGTACTACATATACAATGTTGCAGTGCATAATTTGCTGATGTTATCATTCTCAGATGTTATGTTTCCAATCCCAAAGACAAAAAGATTGGATTTATAAATATACTTATAATAAAAGACAATAGTAATAAAAACTAAAAAAAAAAGTACTTATGACAGAACCAACTTATGACAGAGTAGTCCTCCAAATTGAACCCTGTCGTAAGTTGGGGACAACCTGTAGAAGCAATACCTATGAATTCTTGAGGGAATCGTCTCTGCCTTTTTTAAGATTTTAGCGCCAAGTCAGGATCTTTTTCTTTTTGCCCCGTAAGCAAAATGTAATTAGTGTTATATCTGCTAAATGGGAATATTGTGAAAATTGAGAATCCATAATCTATATACAAAATATTTTGAGTTCTTTGGAAGACTATTCCTTGCATGTTTTAAAGAGTATGTGATCTGCCAGTTTATTCATGCCTTACGTAGACTTTTCTGGAAGCCTAGCTAGGTATTTGCTTGTTTTTCCTTAGAATCCTTTTCAGATTATTATTATTCTTTTTAATGATACCATGTAAAAATTTTATTGTGGTGAAATATATAAACATTATATATGTAAATATATATAGAACATTTGCCATTTCAACCATTTTTACGTGCACAATTCAGTGACATTAATTATGTTTGCCATGTTGTACAGCCATCATCACTATCTGTTTTATTATTAATTTTCTCTAAAGAACAGGAAGAATTTTCAGGACTGAGTATTAAGTAAATAAAAGGGTACTAAATATCTAGTTAAATTTTGAAGCTGAGTTGTCACAAGCTAATGGGATATGAGCTACCTCAAGAGAGCAATTTACTGTGTACTGTTGTTTCTAGTGTACTATTATTTACTGCATGCCCCTTATCTTAAATTTTGTTTTCTTTTTGGTAATAAGGGAACAGGCAGTAGGAGGGAGAACACTTAACACATGTCCTTTTGTGTGCAGTCAACAGCTTTGGCAGGTTATATAAACGTAAAACTTGAAGTGTTTGAGGCCTGAAATGTGAGCTTGTGGCTTCATTACCATTGCCTCTGGAAAACTAGAGTTATATGTGATTTATTATCTTTTATTTCATGCCATTAATTTTATTATCTTCCGTGTTAAATTTGTTTTCCTCTAGAACTGTTGAGGCCACGTGTCAATCGTCTTTCCCCCTTCCTGAAGCCTGACAGTTTTAATAAATGCTCCAAGTTACACTGCATAGGGCAAGTTCCTTTCCGGGTTTTTAAATACAGGTGTTCTCTTTTACTTGTGGAACCACCAGACAAAAACATGTTTGTCTGTCTTTGATAATGAGGAACAGACTTTAGCTGGTATAGAGTGCTTAAAAATGTGTCTGTGTCTGAGAACTATTGAGTAAAACTCTAACTTAGGTTCAGTTTTAGAGTGTGCTGCAGAATTTAAATAAGCAAAATGTTACAGCAGGAAATGTTAAAGAAATAATTAGATACAATTGCAAACATGTTTTCAGCATGAATCTCTTAGAGTTAGACACAGGACAGTGACGGCACACACTGCCACGCGTCACTGCAAAGGCTCTTGTTACTCGCTTACTTGCTCAGGACTGGCTTCCGCATTTCCTTTTGCAAGGACTAAAGCTTGCTTCACCCATCTTTTAAGGTTCTTTGTGTCTTTCCCTATTTAAAACGTAAATGATACATAAAACTGTTGAAATGGATCTTGCCTTGTCATTTGTTTTGATGAGGGTTACTTGAATCAGTTACCAGATATTAGGGTGTTCTCATTTGATGTTCAAGGGACTTGACTTTATTACAACTACTGCATTTAAAAAAAAAAATCTTACTACAAAAGTAATCCAGATTCTTTATGAAAAAAATAGAAAAAACATCAATAACCTCAAAAGATAGCATGTATATTAAAATAATTAAAATCATTCATTATCCATCAGTAGACTGCAACCACTGTTAATATTTTGGGGTGTTTATCTATCAAAATGTAATAACCTAATTCTGCAGGGTTGGTCCAGGGAGTTAAAAAAAAGTTGAGTAATCCTTGAAAATTCACACAGACACCTCCATTTTCTGTTGAAAAAATTTTTATTATGAAATCTTTTAAGCATATGTAAAAGTACACAAGACATATATAGGTGTGTACCCATGTACCTGCCACAGTGGCTCCATTGTCCAGCATTTAAATGTATCATTTTATTTACAAGGTCTTTCTGCGGTCCTTTTTTTTTATGGTCAGTTTTTAATTAGTATTATAATATTTAGTTATTTGTTAAGATTTAATGAATTTTAATTAAGAATAGGAATTAGCATATGTAATGAAACAAAGTGGACACAGTAATATATGTCCTTCTTAAACTTTTCTTTCTGTTTACAAGAGTTATTTAAGCTCAAGGCATTGAAATGTAGAAAATACAGTGCCCCCCTTCCCCCTCGAAAGAAAAAATCCCCCCAAACTAATAGTCCGCCATTGCGGGAAAGTCCATGGTTAAATTAACATTTTAGTGAGTTACCTTCCAGCCTTACTTGTTTTATTTTTTAAAACAGCCTTATTTGTTCTATCTTATAGTTTAGGAAGATGCTACATCATCTTATTTTGATTCTTACAAAATCACTGTTCTCTGTAACCTCTTCGCTTAGAAACTGAGGATCCTGGTTAAGGTAACTTGCCTGGCATATCTGTCACCTAGTAACCGGTAGAGCTGGGACTTGATCCCAAGAGTTTTGATTCTAATTTGATTTTTAAACACTTTGCTGCTTTGAAAGTTGCTTGTTCCTCGTCCTCCCCATCCTTCACCTTAGCTCATTTTATGTCTTGACCTTTGGTTACAAATTCATGTTTATTTCTAAGACTTACCCTTTCTGTAGTAAGTGCTCTTGTATGTGTGTTGTGGATTGAGTTACTACATATGAGTAAGCACTTACAGTAACGCCTGACGCATGCTGAGAGCTCAGAGCAGGTAGCTGCTTCCTACAGCTGGCTGGTGAAATAAGTGAAAGGAGATGCCGAGTTGAAGGGATAGTAAGCAGGAAGTAGGGGCTGGATGGAAAGCCTTTTTTCTGCAATTTGTTTTCGGTCTTGTTTGTACCTTGTTCAGTTTCAAAGGATTTTTGCTGTACACACGTATGCCATACTCACATAAAAAAAACCCAAACCTGTTGCCATTGAGTCGATTCCGTCTCATACTGACCCTATAGGACAGAGTAGAACTGCTCCATAGAGTTTCTAAGGAGTACTTGGTGGATTCGAACTGCCGACCTTTTGGTTAGCAGCCATAATAGCACTTAACCACTACACCACCAGGATTTACTCACACAGTATAGTTAAAAAATCATAAACTGAAGTTCAGTCACAGTTGGAGTTTGCAATCATAGTTTTATAAAGGGTTAGAAAGTACAGTGTTAATACAAACTTCCCTTAGCTATCAGTCCCTAATAAAAGTATTTTTTTATTTTGTCTGACAGGATTTGAACTTTGTGAAGAACTGCCAACACCCAGGTTCAGCTTTGGCGGCAGATCTGGAAGCAGCGTAGCAGCATTGGTTTTCCAAAAAACCTGAGGCTCCTCCTTGGGCAAATTCAGTCAGCTTTTTAAAGAAGCTGCACATCACAGTAAACCTGACACAGAAAGTGCCAGTGCAGATAATCGCTTAGTAAGTACTCAGGATGCACACGTTAAATGGCTATAATGGGATGTAAAAAATCATGAGCATGGAAGCGGTGGGGTTTTAGAGATCACAAAAGATAATTTTTTATTTGTATTTGAAGTGTAAATATTTTTGATTTAAAAAAATGTAATTGTGGAACACTTTAAAACAGTAAATGAGTTTACAGAAAGCGTGTATTCTTGATTTTTGTGCCTTAGTAAAGTTGAGTATAGTTATTTATAAGGACTTGACCAAACTATTGCAGGGCCAGAATAATATGCAAAACAACTTTCTTAGTGTTTCGTTAGACTATTTATGAAACGTAATAAGAAATACTGTTTTGGGTTAAATATTGGTAATAGTGCTTATTTTTTAAAATTATATTTGACATTTGGGAAAACCCTCTGGCCTTCAAGTCCATAATTAAGCAAAATCAAAGAAATGTATCAGTTGATCAAGAAATATTTACTTAGCCTGTATTGTGTGGCTGATGGTCTTCTACTCACTTTGAGGGATAAGCTGGAAACAGAAGGAAAGAGAACTAGCAGATGGTGCTGTACGCTGGCACCATGTTAGGTTATATTCTTTACTAAATCATTGAATCCTTCCAATGTCTCTTTGAAGTCTGTTTTACTTATTCTTGTTCTACGTATAAGAAAACTGAGGCTGAGAGAAGCGAAGTCACTTCTACAAGGTCAAACAGCTGGTTTAGGATGGAACCAGGATTCCTATCTGGGTCTCTGGCTCTAAAACCTGTAGCATATTCTGCCTCTCAGGTGCTGAGTTTCTGTCTTTACGGCATTTACAGTTCAGCTGGGGAGCTCTAGGACTGGTACCTGGAACATTCGGTTAGAGAAGTTGGGTGGTTATTTTCAGGACCCATGCAGAGCTTTGTTAGTGACAGTGTTGGCTTGTCAGCTAACTCATGTCATCCTTCATGGCCTTTCACCTTCTCCTACCTGTCTTAAAAGACTTGCCTACACCAGAATATGAAGAACTGAATTGTGCCGTTCTTCTGTGAAAGGATGGTGGAAGTTATATAAGCCCTCGGGGTATGGGAGCAAAGATGTTCTAATGAGCTAATTAGCAGTAGAAACAATTTATTTATTAACATTCTGGAAAAGATAAGGTTTATTAGTACATAATACCACCTTGCGTTTGGGCCAGTATCTTAATATTGGAATCACAATATGAACTTTAAAAAAAAGTCATACAATTCTTATGGTTTTCAGCTTTTTAAGCCTATTGGGTTACATCATCAAAGTAACAGAATTTTGTTTATTTGGCAAATGTTACTCCAGTAATGAGTAAGTTTAACATTACATCCTTTGTCTTTTTTCTTTTCTTTCCCTCCCTCCCTTCTTCCCTTTTTTCCTTCCTTCTTATTTTAGGGGTGAGGTGGGGAATCTTTGATATGTTCTTTGATTTCACGTAACAAGAATAGTAAATAAGCATATTTTTGAATTTTGAGTTGTTAATTATGTTATTTTAAAGCACCAATCCAACAAAATAGGCCTTCTGTGTGACTAGACTGAGACGTTGGGTTTGATTCACAGATAACGTGGAATGAGCCTTTGTTGAAAAGCTCCTTGAGTCACTGTTGTGGGAGTATGTTTGTTCCATTTGCAAAGATGAAGGCTTTTTTTTCTTTTTTTTGAATCATGGAGTTGTTGATAAGTTGAGGAAAAGGGAGTTGTCATCTCTTCTTATCAGCTTTATCCTGCTGGTAGCCGGCCTCTTAGGGGTTACAATCAGAACAAATGGGAGGTCCAGAAATGCTAACAAAAAATTAATATTTGCAAATAATACCAAGTTGTTAAAAACCAGGCCAGTAAATGTCCCTAAGTTACTGAAATAAGATATAAATAAATTATTATTAAACTTGGTATTGTTAAATCATGTGAATGTGTGGGTAACTGTGAAAGAAATTAAGCAGTTATAAAAGAGGGCAGTAATTTAGGTAGTGAATGCTATTTTCTGTGGATAAGAAGTTGGAATCGTAATTTTATTTCATCAAAAGACACTCTTATTTTGAGGAAACTTGTTTGAAATGCAAACGAGATTTCTCTGTGGAGCCTGCCCAGAATTGTTGCTTTTCATTATGATGTTATTGCTGCATAACAGGCCACTTCTGTGTGTAGGAAGTGCGTGTGCAAGTCCAAAGGGAATTGAGGCCTGAATGGGCGGGTTACACCAATTAACAAATAGAAAGTTTCCAGAGCATTTTGTTTTAAGCCAGGTGCACAAGTTAGAGTTGCTTTTGGGGAATGGCATATATGCATATGAGAATCAAACCTGATACTATTCTTGGAAGCTTGACTAAATCCATTTTAAAATAAGTACAAGCTATCCTTGAGTGATTTTGTTTTTCCCCCATTATAGTAACAACTAGTTTGTCTTTCTTCTTCATTTGTGATATGCATGCAATCTTCAGTTTATTTGGAGGGGAGAAGGGAGCTAAAACACACAAAAGACTTTCAGTCTTTGAATAAATAGTGTATTTCAACTTATTATTTATTATTAAATTTCTGTGATACTGTAATACAGTACTATATGCTGATCTTAATTCACATTAATCCAAGAGTATAATAGAAACCTTAATTTTTAAGAAACCGGTATTAGTAATTAAGTTTCGTATGGCCTTAAGATAAGTTTTCGTAAGTTGGTATGCAAAGAAATAGAGCACCCCATCTTATGTTAATAGATTCTTTAATTTATGTTCTCTTAAATAATTTTATATGTTTGTATGTGTGTATATGTATCTGTCTGATGGCCTGCTCTGAACATGCGTACAAATAGGAGCAATCAGTTGGTTTCCAGGCCAGCCTTCTGCTGCTGTGAGGAGACGTGGATTTGGTTTCCTGTTTCTGGCTCTGTAGCTACAGTGTGTGCGCTCCAGAGACAAGCACTCTGCTCTGAGAGCAAGAGACCTAGTGTCTTGTATTCCATAGCAGTAACCCCTTTAGTTCATTGTGGGGAGGTGTGGATGCACTCGGAAAGGAATCTTGTCTAGTACACTTCAGTGGAAGATGGCTGCCCACAACCTAGGACATGATTGTGGGAGGCGAGGGGCATGGCAGGTGGAAGGACAGTTGCATAGTGGGAAGAAATTAGGAAATCCTGATCATTTCTCTCGGAGAGGCAGGAAACTGAGGTGTCCTTTGAAGGAGGAGGAGCTCATGAGCATGTTTTATTAATAGTTAATGGAAGAAAATTAATGCTAATTTATTCTTCATACACACCACGCAATTTGCTACAAACGTAAAAGAATAGTTTGAAGTTCTTTGGTCAGTTGATAGATTCCTATGTTAGGGGCATAGAAATGAAACTCAACATTAAGCAGACAAATACCCAAGCCCACAGGCTACATAAATGCTGAATAAAACCAGCTCCACAGTAGAAGTCTGAAAAGCGAGGGGTAAGAAGCCTAATGAATGATTGAATATGACCTTAGTAAAATCCCTGGAGTGTTGTTGAAAGATCATTCATTTCCAGCTTAGATGTCAAGATGGGCTCTAGTAACCAGAAAAAAAGAGAGCTTGAGTCTGTGCTTACTGAGTTTTAAAAATCTTTACAACACAGTGCATTAGACTAATCATCAAAAGGGCTCCTCAAACTGAATTTTGAGCTGTCAGTGTAGTGTAGGCCAGGAAAGCCACATTAAAAAAATAGGAATAATTCCTAAGACATGAATGTATCAATATCTTGCTTTTTTCTGGAGTAGAACTTCAAAAACGGGGGCGTATAGGCTGGCAGAATGCACTTTTGTCATGCTGATACCATTGTAAGAAAGATTCAAAACCAAGAGATCAGTTGTGCCCTAAAGTATTTGCAAATTACTTGCCTAGCTTATTAGAGGAAGATATAAAAAAAAAAAAAAATCTAAATTTCAAAGTGGTCCATCCTGAAGAAATGATAAATCCTTCCATGTTATTCTTTAAAAATATATATTATTATTCTGCATCAGGAAAAGATTAGTATTTTAGGGAGTGATCTTTGTTGTGCATGCTATTCAGAAGCTTTTTAAGAAAAGTGAATGTAATGCATTTGTTTTCCCAAATACCTAAAAAGTTATACATGAACTAGCAATTAGAATATCCTGGATATTATCTGAGGAACTTGGAAAGAAATATGAAAATACTTTGGTTGAATAGGTTGACTATGAACTGTATCACCCTTCATTGATGTGCAAAGCCATTTGTTACTATCAGTGATTATGGCGGAATAGAAAAGCCATCAAATGATTCTAGTTCCCCTGCTATGGCCTTCCCTGCTGGCGTCCCTGCAGCTTCAGTCCAAAGAGGAGAGAATGGTCCGGAGGAAGAGGCAGAACGGAGAAGAGAGTGGGTGCTGCTGGATCACATTTTCCTCTTAGCTCCTCCTCTAATATGAAATGTCTGTCCTTGTTCCCATCTAATTTTAGTACATCCTGGTTAAAAAAATGCTATGATGAAAAATGTTAGGATGATTTCCAACCATAGAACTTGAGGGGGTGGGCAGGATAGGAGGGGAGAGAGGAAGGAGCAGTTTATATTCTGTATCCTTCTGCCTTTCTGCCACAGCATCTCGCCCGTACTCTGTTGGTTTTGGTCGTGAAATAAATGTAGATGCACTGAAGCGGCAGTAATTAGGTTTTCCTTCCAGGTCCTCAACGAGAGGCCTAGTTGGAATCTGGACAGGGAAAAGCATACTGTGGTAGTTAGTAAAACACACTGGGCTGACTTAACGGGCTGTACACAAGGTTTGGAAGAAAGGCTTGAAACTGTGAGTGAAAACTGAGTGTTGTGTTATTTATATAAGGAGAAGCTTTGAGGGCCAGTTACGTTTCAGTGTAACTGCTTTTATGCTGATGTTTTGAATAAATATTTGTTGGTTTTGAGAAGCAGTCATAAGCAAAATGCACAAGTCTAAGCTGTTTATCCCCTCTGTAAACCCTCACAGGCCTAGAAGGAAACCCCTAATTCGGTGAAGAGAGCCCGTTGTGTCAAATGACTGATAATATAGTTTGTTTAAGAGATAGGACATAATTGCATATGACGCTGTAGTTGGAAGTGCCTGTTGTTTCGGTTATTATTTAATTAAAAAGTAATTAACTGGATTAAACTAAGAAGGAACTGCTTCATATTAGATCTCACTAGGAAATAAGCCTTTCTTTCCCAAAGGTTTGTTCGCTTAGTGAGCTGAGGTTTCCTCTTGGAAACTGTGTACAATAAAGAGGCTGTATAGTCTGAAGTAGGAGAGTTCATTTTGTTATTAAGTCTGTTTGATAAATGAAATTTCAGATGATTTTCTGAACTTGAAATTTAGTTTATTTTGATCTATAGTAAAAGGTAATTCATCTTTAAAATTATTCAGTAATGGAATAAATATCAAAGGGAAATGATTTTTTTAAACACTTAAGTTTTGGAGAAAACAAATGATTGGACCTAGACAAGCCACATTCCTTTCTGGGCTTGTTTTTTTCTCTGTAAAACAAGGGCGTTCAATAGGATATATTTCAAGTTCCTTTCTACCCCTGAAGTTGATTTGGAGGCTTAGAGAGAGGCCTACAAAATAGGTATGCATCATATATAAAAACCCAAAATCAAACCCATTGCCATCGAGTTGATTCTGACTCATAGCGACCCTACAGGACAGAATAGAACTACCCCGTAGGGTTTCCAAGGCTGTAAAATCTTTACAGAAGCAAACTACCACAACTTTCTCCCGTGGAGTAGCTGGTGGGTTCAAATCAGGGCTTCAAACCGGTTCTTCCTGGTTTGTTCATGGCTGAAGAAGCAAAACTGGAACAGACTTGAATTTTTTAAATTACGGCCAACCGTAACAATAATCAGAATGGAAAAAATTATGGGTCAAAGGCCTGCTGGAACCTAATCTCCCTCTTAAAAAACAAGGGCAGCATACACATTGCATAGCAACCAAATCTCTTGTCCTCAGTCGGAAACAGCAGTGTCCCACTCAGAGATGGTGGCTGACTGCGCTACTTTCAACGTGTGGCGCTGCCACAGTCCTGCCAGTAATCCAGTCTCATGCATCAGGCTCCTGTAAGGACTCAGTAAGCCTCTTCCAAGTCTGATTCCAGGGCTTTGACCCGTAATTTTTCCCATTCTGGTTATTGTTCTGGACCACTCAAATTCAGGTCTGTTCTGGTTTCACTTTGTCGGCCATGACTGAACCAGTTCGAAATGGTTCAGAGCCCTGATTCAAACTACAGACCTTCTAGTTAGCAGCTGAGTGCTTAACCACTGTGCCACCAGGGCTCCTTCCATCATATATAAACCAGAAC